TAAGAATATATATCTCACTTGGAAATTCTACTTGGAGCTTTGTATTGGCTAACCACCCCTCCCCATCAGTATCTTTTAAGTGAAGATGGAAATATACTTTGTCATCTGTCCATCCAGCTGCAGCCTTTACTCCATCAACAAGTTGCTATTAGTTGAATATTGTATGTGCAGCAATTTTTCTTGGATGTGTGGTGAAGAGAGAGAGAAAGGCTGAAATGGAGAAAGTAGCAGGAAGGCAGACAGGGGAAGAAGCCTTAGAGATGTAGTTCTCCTTTCATATAAGTTCATATTTTAAGAGATGAAAAAGGCCAATTCTTTCAACAAGGAAAACTTAACATAGGTTCCCTCCTCCTCATATTTTGAGCCAAATTCCAAGCAGTCAAAGATCACAGATTCTCCTAACTCCCATCAATCTAGCCACAGTAAGATAATGCAGTGTTGGTCCAGATGATGTAATGAGTTATCTACAAAAATCACTATGTTATTCTTCCTAAACTTAGTGACACTGATAAGCCGCCATCACCAAGAATACATTTGAAAGTTTTACCCAGTAATTATGATGTTTCTTCATGGATTAAATCATTCACTGTTAACTATCCCAATGACCATCAGTGAAGAAAAATTTTAATATACCAGAGTTTTCTTTTCTGGACTTGGAACTTTGTGAAATTTAGCTTTGCTGACTACCTGAACTATTCTCAGTTTATAGAGACAAAAATAAAAATAAATAAATAAATAAATAAAACACATGGATGTACAAATTTTCTCTGTGATGACATAAAGCATAGAGATGACATTATACAAAATTGTATATTCATTTCCACTATTTGCTTATGAACACCAACATCAGTTTTGGGGAACATTTTTCAAGTATAAATAAAAGTAAAAATGGAAGCATCCATAGCATACCATTACTATAAAAAATTGTACTGTACAAGCAAACATTTTATGATGAAATTTAGGCAAATATATTAAAAATTTTTAGGAAGGCCATTTATAGTACAATTTTTCCAAGCTTCAACCTGAAGGTGAGAAACAGTGAACAGAAGACTGGTTAGCTTCCACATCATAATTATAAGACCATTGAGATGGTCCCTGAAAAAGCCAGACTTTTTATTTTATTTCATTATCCTTTTTCACTAATACTAAAACTGATTTCTCCCTTATTACTTTCCTAAAATAAAATAAGGGGAGGGATGATTTTTATTTAATGAAAGGCAGATACAGGACGAAGTCAGGAGACCTAGATTCTAATTTTTTCTATTAAATATTTAAGAATGTTGGGCAAGTCTTTAGTAAAATGATGAATATGGAATGTTCTCAATATTCAATAATCAGTATCTAAATTCTGAGATGCTTCTATTAAGAATGTCAAGCATTCCAGTTGTAGCTAAATGAATAAGTTATTTCATGCAATCATATATGAAATCACAGACTTTAAATGTTTTATCAAAATTGATTTATGAGCATATAACTTTGATAGCACTGTTGTAAAACTTTGGTTGAATTCATTGGATTAGTTTTGAAATGTTCATTTTGCATACTTGTTCTTTGAGAATGCATTTTGCTAAATATTCCTTTGCAGAATGAAGATAGAAATATGACTTTTATGTAATGATTTGATACTTACCATTGAAATTTGGGGGCTATTTTGAATTCATAAAATTTATATTTCATAATAAAAACTCTTTCAATTTTTTAAAAAAAATTGTTAATAAGAGGCTCTTGTGACTTTTTAAATAAAAACGCAAATATCCATAAGATTATATAATACAGCCACCAACATCAATAAAGTGATATGAACAATATACATTAATCTATGAAAATATTTTATACAGTTATCCTTTGACTAAATCAGCTTGCCCTCATAAAACACTAAATTACTTAGCTGTTTATCTATACCATAAAAATAGGTGTGAGCATGTGTGCTGTCATTCTTTCAAAGTTGTTTTAAATTTTTCCAGAATTTTATTTATTTCATTAGAAAATTAGATTATAGGAAATACCATACCTGTGATCCTCAGTAAATTGTACTGAATAAAATCAATGAATGACTTCATAAGAAATAAGTCACATTTTTATTGTAATTAATGAGGCATTTCTTAAAATTCAAGTTGAAAACAGCTGTTATTTCAAGTATCAAAATAACAGAACTCACATTTAGTTACCTTCATTGATTAAAAAATTTAAGCAAGTATTCATAAGTTTTATTCTTCCCCTGTTTGCTTTCCTGCTACTTTCTGTATTTCAGCCTTTTCTCTCTCTCTTCACCACACATCCAAGAAAAATTACTGCACACAGAATATTCAACTAATAGCAACTTGTTGATGGAGTAAATTATTTCATTTGCACAATTTTTAATTTATTTTTACCAAAGCAAACATTTAATTTAGATCTACGCTAGGGGGCAAATAATTATGAGCATTAAAAATATAGCTTAATGATGCTCAAAGATATGCCATTGGTACTGGTATACTAATCTCCTTTTGTGTTTTGCATAGCAGTATTAGTGAAAATGACATTAAATTAAGAAAGATCTTGAATTCCAACTCAACAAAGATTTTTTTTTAATTATAAATGGACAGAATGCCTTTATTTGTTTATTTTTATGTGGTGCTAAGGATCAAACCCAGTGCCTTACACATGCTAGGTAAGTGTTCTGCCACTGAGCTAAAGCCCTCAACAAGTACTCTTAACAGAAATTCCTGCTATAATTTATGGTTTGTTAATTTCACATATAATACTAAGACTACTTTAACATTTTGACATTAATTAGAATTATGTTAGAATACACTGCCTTAAAATTATCATTATCACAATTAAGAGTAATAACAGATCTGTCAGTATTACTACTTGCTTTCCCTTTTGTTTTGTTGGGACATTCCTTTTGCAATATGGACTCATTACTGTTGGACATAATGTGCATAGTAATCACTCCACTGTTACCTGAAGGGTTAATGTATTTAGAGAATAAACTAAATGATCTTTGGTTTCAGCTCCTAATTTAACCTACTATCCACATAGCATGGCTGCATATGAGAATTTGCAGTATTTTTGCAAGTTGAATATATAGTTTTGAATGTTCCTTTTATTCAAACATGAAATGAAGTCTACCAAAATTACCAAACTTAAAAAACTGATAATAAAGCCATTGTATGTAGCCCCTCCTGACTTCCAATGCAGCTGTCCATACTTAAAACCCCCACTCATCACTGCACTCTGTCTATAACTATACAAGAAAAGAGAAATAAAACCTCCAATAGAGTTGGAGTTCAAACAAAACAAAAATAAAATTCTGACATTGGAGAAGATGAGATTTTAAGGCATTCCTCACTAAACAAATTCTCAAGGTAATTGCTCAACTTTCCCTTCTTATTTCTGGTATAGGCAGGGACTTGTTCCTTTAAGGTTAAAAAGCATATGTCTTCTCTCTCCACCAACTACAAGAGCCAGAATGACAATTTAATTCTTATTCCACTGAAATTGTGTATAGTAATGCCAAGAAATTACACTCACATATCACAAACTTAAACAGGGCACCATTCAAAGTTTCTAATGTTTATTTCTGAATACTCTTATCTGTATTCTTGGAAGGGAAGACCTATGTCCAAAGGTTCAAAGAGTAAAATGTAATGTGGAAATTAATACATTTCATAACTGAGAAAGGTGGCTTATGAAGTAGTTTGTTTTCAAGATTTAAATGCATGAGGAATCTGGAATACAAATTTTAGAATTGAAATTATCTCCTTTCTTGCTCACTCATTCCCTCAATCCCTTTGGTCATATTCATTCATTAAACAACTGCCTATTTTCTCCCAACTAGAAATACTAAAACAGTAAACATATTCTCATAAGAAAGGGCTACTTCCCTAAGAAAACTTCCATGGAAATATTGTCTGGATAAGATGCTACACAACACACACACAAAGCACACAGATACTGCAGGAGCCCCTTGGTACAATGTTTTCTAATCCTGCTATATCCCCCTCTTAGCCACTAAACCTAAAGAAAAATAGGGGCTTTGGCTTATTGCTATTTCAAAGAAGATTTTAAAGGGTAAGTTTGATGCCACCCACTTCCCCTTCAAGAAAAAAGCTTCTTATCCTCTAGAGTTGCTGAGCTTTTAATAGTATTGTTGCTGAAGGCCATTCACCACCCAGTCAGGTGCTCTGTTCCCAGTATGAAAAGACCCCTTCTGGAGGAATAGTTAAAATAAGATTGCTCCTTATATCCAGCTGTAAATGAGTGGAACGAATCTATGCCATGTGAATAGTTGTGCGCTATAAAACAACAATAACAAAAAGTTTAGTCCCCAAAGGTTTGTTATTCTTGTCTTTCCTTTATCATGCTTGATCATTCCCTAAACAGCCCAGGTGCTGAGAAACACAGTAACTGTACAAAAGCCAGGATCGCAGTGTGTCAGTGTCAATTTCCTGAGGACACTGTCAGAAAAGCTGGAGAGACAGCAACGCGTGGAGGGAATGAGGTCAGAATTTACTGAGAGGACCATTTACTCTTAGAAGGAATACGGCGGGACAGTGAGGTTCTGCACCGACTGAAAGAAGGTGGGTCAGGGGCGGACTTTGAAGAGGATTTCTCAGCACCAGAAAGAGTGAGGGGTGGCACATGGGGGCGTTTGGGCGCTGGCAGAAGGGGGAATTCGAAAGGAGAAGACATGGTAACAGTGAGAGCAGCGATGACCCTGTTTGGAGTGACGCTAGGGTCGGGGCCATCCACCTTAGCGTTTAGTGTGGAAGCTGGAAGGTGAGGTGAGACTAGGAGCTGCAAGCAGCTGTCCCTGGAAGAGAAAAGGTTCTTGTTGCCGGCAGGTGGAGTTGAAACCAAACATCCCCTCAGGGACCACGGAGCAGACCCCTCTGAGACCCTCTGCCTGGAGGCTAGGGGGGGTGGGGGTGGTTTGGGTTGCCTCTCAAATCTAAAGACGTTCTGTCTACCCCAAGCCTTGACGTCTGACACCCTGAGCTCTCCTGGTTACTCACCAGTCCTGGGGGGAAAGCGCCATCCCGGGCGCACGCGAGGGTTGCGCGGCGCAGGCTGCAGGCAGGGCCGGGCGGCGGTGGCGGCGCTGTCCTAGGAGCGGAACTGGAGTCGGGGGACGCCAAGGCAGAGACAGCGGGGGCGCAGGGAACTGAGGGCGGGGAGAGCCGAGGATCTGGAGCTGCTGCGCCTCGCGCGCTCTCTGCCCATCTCCGTCTCCGCTAAAGCGGCTACTGCTACTGCCGCTGAAGAGGAGGGAGGCGAGGGGGAGGGGAGGAGGCACGCGGTAGGGAGGGAGGGAGGGAAGAGACAGAGGGAGGGGGTTGAGAGAGGGGAAAGGGGGAGATGATCATTCAGAGTTCGGGGGGGACAAGGAGACGCACAAGAGCCCAGCAAAGGTTCCCACCAGATGAGCTCAGGGTGGGGAAACAGAGGATGAGGAGATGGGTCTCTTCTCGCGCCCCCACATACCCTGCATCCCCCTTTGCGCTCTTTCCTTGGGCTCTTCCTCTTATAGCTCAATCTGGGGGTTGCCCAGGCTCGTCCGCAGCTAGGGCTTCAACGCACTAGTGAGGGTGTTGAGCTCAGCAGGCTAACGCGATAGCTCTCCGCGCCACCGGCCTGTGGCACCTGTGCGCGCACCCACTACCACCCGCTCCATTTCAGCGGCTCCCAGACCAAGAACTCAGGCTGTCACCCTCTCTCTCTCCCCTTTGCGGTCAGATCGTGATCGTGCATGTGCAACCATGACATCTGTGTAGTTCCCCATAGCTATTTGTTTTCCTGGGCGCTCTTTGGCACAGGCTGTCCGACCAGAAGGCGCCAGCAGGGAGCTCGATGCAGGCAACCTTCGCGAGCCCAGTGGAGCTGCTGCCCAGGCAGGGGTGACGGTATTTGTTTGTTGCCTGGGTTGACCAGCTAGCCCGGGGTGGGGTGGGGGGTGGGGAGGATCTTTGGACCTCATTTCCTTGAACCGTGTATTTAGCGATCTAGAAAGGTTGTAAATGTGAAGGGCAGAGATACAGTCCATTACCTCTTGTCTTGATTCTCTTCCTCCCTTTACCGAATGAATATATATAATATATATACAACAAAAACAAACAAAACCCATTGATTTAGCTCATTTAATAGAAATATTTCCCCAGCTCTTCAATGCAGAGCCTTCAATTCCGCCCCCAGAATTTTCCTTGGATTGGCCTGGCTTTCCTATTGTGGATTTTTGTTTACTCCTTTGGACTGTAACTCAATCGTGTATGTTCAAAAACTACAAAGATTCGAATGCAAATAGATACTATATTCAGTGCCCTATACGCTTTCATGATTTAGGGAATGAATTCAAACATTCAGTAAATATAAAAAACAATCAGAGTATTATTGACTGATTTCCATGAACCATAATTTTGTTTCATAATATTCTGTGGTAGTTGGGGGTCAACAGAGAGCAAGTACATTATTGTGTGTAAAAGATATGACTGGGAAAAGAAGTCTAGTAAAACTCTCTTCAACACATAAAGTTTGTTATTATTCCCTGTCAGAACCAAGAAGGAAAGAATTTCTAAGTTTGGTTTCTCTTGTGTGGGGGTTGCTTTAAAAAAAAAAAAAAAAAAAAACGAAAAAGGCATCCATTTACTAAAGAGACAATGTTATAAAAGCCTAAAGGATCTTAGTCTCTAGAATAAATAATCTGAGTATTTTGTTTTACATAAGTATGTCTTATATAACAAATGTATTCATATTAAGTGCACTCTCAATTGTATATGCAGTGAGGAAAAACGTTTTTAATGTACTAAGCCATACCCTAATGTTAATGAAAACCCTCTAGATCTTCCTGTATACCTCTACAAGATGGAATTTTTTTAAAAAAGTTATAACTCAGTGGTAAAGTAATATTTGATGGTCTGGTATTCCCAACTTATTAGAATCTTTCTTGTTGAGTATATCTGCTAATGAAAATATTTGGTTTCACATCTATCTAATGATCCTAATGAGACAAGTACCTCCTCATTATGAGAACAACAGATGGTTAAACTCCTCTAATGCACCTCACCTTTAAAAGGCATATGCTACTGTCTCCAGATGTCCAGAGGTGCACCATGTAAATTCACCAACTGCTATTTCAAAGACCACAGAAAGAAGATGATTGGTGGAGACCTACAGTTCATTCAGCACTCTAAGTCTTTATTTAGGTGAGTAGTAATTTTTACCAATGCCATTAATTGCCTAGGCAGGGTTTTGAATCAAGAATTAATAAACCTTAATTTTCTTACGCCTGATTAGGATATTCCGTATCTCTCTCTTAGTGAGGTAATTTGCCTTTGAGAATTTTAAATGTTTTTCTTCCCATATTTAATTATGAAATCAAAACAGCAATATACATGTAGTCTCATTTTATGGTTGTGAAATGGTAAAGCGAAGAATGCAAACTAAATTACTTTAAGTCCAAGCAATGACAAAGGGTGATATTTAAAGCACAGCAAAACAAATTTATAAATTTCTGAATATCAGTTTACCTCTCCAACCGCTTGGCCCACTGGAGACAAGAAGAGAATGATAAAAGATGAAATGACATTTGAGGTCTCCTGCTGGAGGATTTGGATTTCTATTTAGATTCTAAGGTTGGATGAAAACTTTTCTGTCACATATACTACAGTGTTCTCTACCTTTTTGTACTCTTTTCCCCTTTTTCATATCTATTAGTGTAACACTGAATTATGCATTATAACATTAAGTCTCAGAAGAGAAAGTATGAAAAGCAAAGAGAGTGGGCCCTGTGATCTAATCTTAGAATGTACCAAGAAAAATGTACTTTCAAAAAGTGAGTTTGCTTGGAAGTGCAAAATTTATTTTCTTGGGTTACAACAATCGATTCGGGAACTAGAATTGGGCTGCAGCTGCCAAAAGAAAAAGCATGGGAAATGTAGAGGGGACTCAGTTGTGGTTAATCTCACAAAACTAAGAAAAGTACTACTCCTGAAGGTATTGTGCTATGTGCTATTCATTCTCACTTGTGAAACCTTCTTTGCAGCAACTGCTGTGGAAACTGGACTAAGTAAGTCGGATGACAAAAGCCCACCTGGATATGGTTTGTAAAAAGTAATGGAGGAATACACAAAAAATGAGACATAGAAGCAATATTTGCTCTAAGCAACCTATTCCTGTAGCAGCAGCAAAGGGGAAAACTTTGAAAACCATAAAAGGCTATTTTTTTCCCCTCTCCTTTTTCCAGGAACCTAGAGGAGAAAAATTGAACTGAGTTAATTTTGAGTAATTAAAAAAAAAGAATGGATACAATATAAATATAAAAATAATATAGGATAAGACCTCCAGAGGAGCTGAAAAACCAACCAGTTGTTGAAAAAATTATGCTATAAGAGTGTTTTCATAGGGAAGTTGAAAATTTTGTCTTGATATGCTAATTTTATATAAATTTTCATAAAGGCACAAGAAATGAATTGCCTCTGTGAATGAACACCACAAGGCACAAGTGTGAGATGATGAGACAAGAGGAACCAATGACACATAGTTGGCAAATCTCAGGAGAAAAGTGAAAGAAAAATTAGAATCATCACAAACTAAAAATGAAAATGGAAGAATTACAACATAAACCGGGGACTGAGATAATCAGGGAAAGAAAGGGCAGAAATGAGAAAGGCTAGCAAAACAAAATAGAAATAAAGAAAAAAATGGCTTAGAGAGAATATAAAAGATGGAGAAGATGTGCAAAAGTAACCCAGTGGATACACAGAGACCCTAGAGAGGAAAAAACAAATGATGGAAAAAAAAATAAATACTTAAATATATCATTAAGAAAGAAACATTCTTAAAATAAGAGATGTGAAATTTCCCTTTGAAAGGAAATACTGATTAAATGATTACCAGAGAAAACCCCCACAGAATCAACAAGACCAAGGTTATTCTAGTACAGGATTTAGATATAAAAAAGAAACTTTTGAGCATGTAGGCAAACCTGTCAGTAACATAAAGGAAAATGTTGATATTGTTCTCAAGATTCCTTATTGCAACATTCAGTAGTGGAATAGAATCATCCACTATCAGTGGAGCAAAGCCTACAAGATATCAAAGAAAACAGAGTGAGAGTTTTTTTTTTTTTCTTTTTGCTAAATAGTCCTTTAAGCACAATGGATATGAACAGTTTTCTACATGAAAGAACTCAGGGAATATTATTCTATGAACCCAACAACAGGAAATCACTGGAAATGAAATGAAAGAAATAAGTATTAAGCTTTCTAAGAGACAAATGGAAGAGACATGGATTAAAAACTGATCAATTGTGTTAATAAATTGAATGCACTCATTTATTAATCTAAGTTTTGAGAATCTGAGAATAAAAGTAATAAAAATGGAATATAAATCTCACAGATCTGGACAATATAAAAATAAAACATCTAAAAAATCGGTATGAGAATGACAAAAGAAGATGGGGTATAAAGGCAATTAAATGTTGGGAATCAAGGAAATTCACATAAAGCAACAAATAAGTATTCCAACAATTAATCGTCCAAAGGTAGACTATAATCAAGATTATATGATATATTGAAGGAGAAGATAGGGAAGAATAAGAAACAAATTTTTACCATTGCATATTTTAATGAACTAAACTACAGAGTCTGTAAAAATAGAGAAATGCAGTTAATTTATTAAGGAATATTTTTGAAAGTACCAATAACAAAATTAAAAAAAAAAAACTTCATAAATGTTTAAAATATGCACATAGAGAAAAAGAAAATCAAACACAGAGTGAAGAAATTGTGCAAAGTTCTAAGACGAAATAACATAAAACAATGTGTCAGAACCACAAATCAACATTTCTAATAAACCAATAAATGAAAATGGTTTTTCCATTTCCTGTCAAAATATATTGAGATTGGATTACAAAACAAAATAGTTTTCTATGTTTTGATTTTACAGCAAGAGAATTCAGCATGATTGAAAAATTAAAAAAAAAATGGGAAAACATACCAGGCAATTGAAAACAAAGAGCAAGTTGTATTCATAACCTTAATCATAAGTTTGCATAAAGTCAAAAAGATGCTGACAAACAAGAAGAAAAATATGTCATGATAATAAAAGTAAAAGTCACGTTCCTATTATGGATGAAACAATTATAAACATCTTTGTACCAGATGACATAACACTAACATTACTAAATCATAAATTATAAATATTAAAGGAGAATGGCACCCATTATAATTGGAGTCTTAATACTTTTAATCCATGATT